CCTCCATCCGCGCCAAACCGCGCCGAATGCAACTCTAATGGAGGCACCTCTGAATCATCATCTGCCTGACCAGCAGGTGAAGGAGTCTGAGAACACACTCCAGGAACCTGTATGACAACATGTCCAGTTGGTGCTGCAACATGATTGCCATGAATAGGCTTACATTTCATGTCCACCCTGACCTTCTTCACCATACCAATAACCCGCACCTTCGCGATGTCTGTGTTGTAATGATGAGCCTGGTGAGCCCAGTAGAGCAAATGGCAGACTTGTTCATTGCTCTTGCAAGGAGTCTGCAAAAAACATGTCAAACAGAACTCAAAAAAAAAAAAAAAAAAAAAAAAGCCACTCACCTCAACACAAGCCAAACCACCACCATGACCCTGTTCAATGCACCTGCGACACTTATCCACATGACTCTTGAATATGCAAACATGCAAGGGATCCACTGCCAGGTATCAGACGCATTGAGCACACCAATCTGCGACCATATCAGACCAAAACTCTGACTCTTCAGCATCAAGATGTTCAACCATGGCAGCCTCCTGCTCAGCTGCAACCTCCTCTGCTAGCTCTCTGACAAATTCCTCCATATCATTAATTTCCACGTCTCCATCCTCCTGTATATGCAAGTGATCAGGTCCTGCTGCACCTTCATCATCAGTAGAAGACTCATAGTCACTGTCAAAACAAAGAGACACATGTTCTGAAACCAATCCATACTTTCACAGAATTTGACCAGCATGGCAGATGGTCTTGAGCTCCTTTTGAGTAAAAGGGTAGTCATGTCAGGAAGCAGGAAAATGAACATGATCACAAGCATGCTGCACCATCCTGAGATTCCTACAGATGATATTAGCGCGCTAAATAGGAACCATTTGCAACAGAGATGTTGTTTTTTTTGAAATATGCAGATGCACATTTTATTATCCTTATGTACATGACAGGAGTTGGCACAGAAAAAAGAAGGAAAACAGTGCAACAAGCACACAAAAGCTCTGACACAACAAAGAACACCAACACAGTACTACTGCATCAAAACAACCCCAAATGAGTTGAAAATGTGCAAGCAAAGAGAAGGACATACAGATAATTGAACAAAGCAAAAAGAAATACTCTACAACTTACTGGCAAAAAGTTGTACTGGCATGAAGAAATGCAGCATTGCTATGAAAAGGAAAAAGCCAAGAGCCCTACACAACAAACATAAACATGCTCACCTCAGCACAATGCTATGCCCAATTCAGCAGTGTGATACAACAATAAATGCAAATGTGTGACCACACCAAATTACTATGGCAACTCACATAGACACACTACTTGCAATTTACAAGGTAACAGCCTCAGCGCAACAAATGACTATCAATCCTTTGTTTATACATGACTCTTGACTTCTTTATACACCGCAGTTGTCTACACGCTCAATGCATTCCCCCTTATTTGTTCAATGCTTTATTATACGCCACGAGGCCGTGGCTCTCGAGAAGAAAGAGGACCATGTTAGGATACAAAGCCGCATAGCGGACTTATGCATGTACATAACG